GTCCAACCGTCACTTCCCAACGTTTCAACCCCGCCTTCGCTGCCCATGACGGTAGACCGTGACCGGCACGTAGCTATGGCAGCTATGGCCAATGGTGGAGATGACATGTATCGTCTCTCCAAACGAATCACAAAGAAGCTAAGGCATCAAGGAGTGGCCGTCCTTAAGGGGACTGGGGAGGCTGGGAGACTGAGGCCTGAGACCCGAAAAGGCGGAGAGAGATCCAGTACTAAGCCGGGGGTTTCTGAGTGGTGTTTTTTCTAATTACGATCTTCTGAAGAACTTGGATGATTTGCCACAGGATGCACCCTCCGGGCTGATAACTCTTGAGTCACTGAGGTTGGGCATAGTTCAGCGTTTAAAACCTTTTCTTATAGCCTCTGATTACGATTTAACATTAGGCCACCTCTAAGGTTTTGGGTATTTGGGGCATCTTTGGAGGTGTTTGAGTTAGATACTAACCCGCCCGAAAACGGAGGTTTTTAAGTTAGTATGGATCAAACTTTAAGGCGCAGGGGACCGCAGATTGGCAGATTGGCTTGTCGTTTTGTTAAACGGCCCGTTTTTCTATCGGAGAAATTGGATCCTTTGACACAGCACTTCAGAACATATCCTTTGAGATCATGGGTGATGGACGATTCCCCTGTTGACGATGTCCCTAGGGAAAAATATGCGAATGTCCCATTGCTGTGCCGTTTGATGATTGGAAGGGAACAGCCATCAATTGGTTGTAGCCGTTTGAAGGATTGGCATGTGTAAATATGAGTTAGATCTTATTCGATTTTTTTGTTCAGCCAATTTTCCCACGGGTGTGTCTGAAACCGAGGTCCATACTGTTTATACCCCAACATATATCAACATATCATAATCATCATCTTCCCGCTCAAGATTGCCATAAACGGGGTAACTTCCAAACTTTCGATTCTTTTTGCATATCCCCAAATCATACAGTTCGTGGCCTGTAGAACCACACACAACCAGAAATACATTGGTGTTTGCCTATGGTAGGGAAGACCCCCTACCCAACAAATTGTGGTTTGCGGAAACCATTATTTCTGCTTGTTTGGGGTTCCATGCCCATAAAATGCTTGGTCATCACGCCTTAACTCGAGCAGGAAGGGATCTCCAAATGAGACCCGATGGGTTCGTGGAGATTTCTACGTTGAGCACTCGAATGCGAGAGCCTCAAGAGCGGGTAGCTTCGGCTCAAAATTATTCCAGGTCCCTGCAACTTGGATGGTTGAGTGCTTTAGCCAACAAGCATAGTGATGGAAAAAACCGGGATTTGACCACCAAGGGCAATTGGTGAATACTGGTTCTGGTTGCAGCTACTTGGATGGTGCCATGTACTACCCCATTCAATACTAGACTGCTAGAAATCACCAAACTCCGATCCTTTCTGTTGGAAACCTTAGCATCTGCGCCCGATGCAGGCGACTGGAAGTCGGTAGCCCCACTTTTTTGGGAGAAAATTCGTTCACATCGGGTGATCCATACGTACTTTGTACGCGGCCTACTTCACCTCCAAAAAGCCCACCATGAACGATACGTGGGATTTGGGCAGCCATCAATGCTAATTTTGTCTAAAAAATCAAACATCATCCAGATTTGTACCAAACACTTGCGCCCAAGAGAGGGTATTTAGCAGCGCTTGGGTGACATGACCCTTGGCATGCAACTAGCCAACTACCAGACCAGGCGTGTGCTCCCACCGTCCAGCGTTTTCCATCAAGGTACACTGTACCTACAATTCTCTACCCTGGTTATGTGGACCAACTGTTGATCGAATTATTTGAACCATTCCTGCTCACAGGGCTAGGGCATCTATGCATTTGCCGTGCCTTCGGTTTGTGCACAAAAAATGGCCCCCCAACATCCGGTGGTGAGCCATCATTTTCCCGATTTCCCCTTCATTCACTTTTCCATAGAGTGCGGGGTAAGACACACCCAGTTCCGAGGGGTTTCCTGATCCAGATGATTTTTCTGAGGTAGAAGCGGCCGTTCATGACAACCGTCGCCTTCAGTGTCTCGGTCTCAAACACATTTGGCACTGGGCCAGCTGCAGTGACGTCTCTTGAACTTGTATAAAGTTGGACCAGCAGATGGACCCTATGGCACTTGACGCTACCTCAACATGCTGGTGATGATTGCCCATCACCATGCTGGGTGTCAAGAATGGGTCGTGTGGTCAACCCGATGCCAAAGTATCCCAACCCAAAGCGGTACCCAAGAATCACCACAAATTGGGGAGCGCTTGCATTCTTTATATTCTGCGTGCCACTTCAAAAACAGTTTCATTCCCAAGGGATCTCAAGAGATATTGTGTTTGGAAGGCCCATGTTGCTCGGAATCAGGACCCATCGATATGGCACCAGATGGTGGCAACTTGGCAGTCAGGTGAGAAATGGATCAACGAATGGGAGCAAAACTTTGATTTAATCAGAGAGGGTGGGTATAGGTAGATAGATTGACATAGTGCAAAACAGAGGCACTGTCGCAC